ACAAGGCAAGTCACACCATTCATACGGATGAGAAACAGTATTCAAGAGAGTTCTTCCAAAATACCTTTCCTTTGCACTTTTTGTGCCATCTTTATTTACTTCTTGTTTCTGCGCTTCTGTTTCTTAAAGTACCTGATCACAGTTAATTTTTGGTAAACACTAAAGTATCGCTCTTCTGAATACTTAAGCTTTCACTGTGTCAGTTATTTCTCTGCCCTCTTTCCTTTAACTGATGGACTTCATTGTTTTCTGTCTTGCTTTTAATGCATGTCTAGATCCACTTTTTGGTGGCTTTGTGTGCCTTTTCCCAGGTCCCTAAGACAAGCTTTTGAAAATGAAGAAACGGAACAAGAGGTGTAGGGGAAAGCAATGCTTTCTGTGCCTGGCATCAGTGCTAGGGGAGCCGGGTCGCTCTGTTTGAAACATAAATCAAGGAAAATTAGGTAATTCTCCCTTTGTACTCCGCTCTGGTGAGACCCCACCTGCAGTTCTGCATCCAGCTCTGGGGTCCTCAGCACAGGAGAGACGTGGACCTGTTGGAGCAGGTCCAGAGGAGGGACACAAGAATGACCAGAAGGATGGAGAACCTCTCCTGTGGGGAAAGGCTGAGAGAGTTGGGGTTGTTCAGCCTGGAGAAGAGAGGGCTCCAGGGAGACCTTATTGCAGCCTTTTTACCAAGGCCTGTAGTGACAGGACAAGGGGCAACGGCTTTCAGTTTAAAGAGGGTAAGTTTAGATTAGACATAAGGAGGAAATTCTTTATGATGAGGGTGGTGAGACACTGGCGCAGGTTGCCAAGAGAAGTTGAGGGTGCCCCATCACTGGAAGTGTTCAAGGTCAGGTTGGACGGGGCTTTGAGCAACCTGATCTAGTGGAAGATCATAGAATCATGGAATCATTTAGGTTGGAAAAGACCTTTAAGATCATCGAGTCCAACCATAAACTTAACAATGCCAAGTCCACCACTAAATGTCCTTGCCCATGGCAGGGGGGTTGGACTAGATGATCTTCAAAGGTCCCTTCTAACCCAAACCATTCTATGATTCTATGAAAATCTGTTGGGAAGACTTGTCTCAAGGAGATTATTGAAATTATTGGTACTAGCCTATTTAGGATGTAGCAAGTGAGGCAGAAATGATGGTATATTAATAGCTATCAACCACATTAACATTTTTCTAGTGTCATCTCCTGCTTCAGCTGGAACTCCAGGCTCAGAACTAGATTAAATCTATTTTTGTCCCATTTGGCTGTGAGTGAGAATTGGTCTGGAGCCTGTTGTGGTACAGGAGCTGCTTTGGGGTGAAAACACTTCTTTAGAGGGTTGCATTTTTTTTCAGTAGCTTGTTCTTAGCTTGATTGAGTTTCTGTCTCTGGTTTGCTGTGACCACAGATGCCCGTGGCAGGGCAGGGGAAGGGGGCTGGCGATGCCACATGTTGTCCTACCGGTATATGACAGCCCAAAGTCTTCCTACAGCTCCAACCTTACTGATTCTTCCACTTACAAAAAAGTTGCAGATTTGTGGCCAAAATGGTCTGAGTTTTAATTTGTTGTTTCCAAATATGCCCCGATCCACCAATGCTGAAATATATATATATGCAGTATGCCATTGGCGTATCTTCATGTAATTTAGTTAACATCCTTTTAAAAGAACTAGAGTAACTACTCTTGTTGGAAAACTGTTTCCAAACCTCTCTGTAGTCAGAAAACTTCTAACTTCTTGGTTTATGTTTTGAAAACATTTAAGATCTCATCTTCATCTCCAAGCATAAACACTAACTGCTGGAAGTTAAAAGGAAAACCAGTGAAAACCTCAAGGTTTTGATTATACCTGCTAGGGATGAAGGGGAGAAGGAAGCTACAAAGTCTGCTGAAAGTTTCTGTAGAAGCTGGAGGTGAGGGGGATTCGCAGCCGCGGGTGGCAGAGCTTTGACTTGCCAGATGGCATCAGTTTGCCAAAACCTAGGAGCCTCTGAACAACAGACAGGGAACCGAAGGGTTTCTGAATCGAGTTCAACTTATTTTTCTTCAACCCCTGTTGCTGAATTCACCAGATGGATGTTTCTGAATCTTTTGCCAGTAAATATAAAATCTGCTGGTCAGGAGTGCGGATTAACAGTGATGGTGTGTAATGCACACTTCTGTGCTAACATTGAAAGGATGGAGTCATTCAAGGGGATTGAGGCTACAAGTCAAATGCCTCTCATAAAGAGAACCAGCGTTAAATAATTAGAAAATCTTTTGTCTTCTCAAATAGTGCAGAAATAAATTATTTTTTCCAAGATGGAGCACAACACGATGAAACTCTTGTCTGCCAGCATAAAAGAGCAGGATGCCAGGTTAGATCCTGCCACTGTGACTGTTTCAGTGCTATCACCCTGCTTGGAAGGAGCATCCAGTGCCGACCTTCCCAACAGCCCTTCCAAGTCAGCTTCATTTAGAAACCATTTCTGTTGACCCACAGCTCGCTTGAGAGGAAAAGCAAGCAGGAGCTTTGCTGCAAAATCAAGTAAAAGGCCATATCTTCCTTCATCTTAGCCGTTTCTGTTGTTCTCCTAGGTTGTAGCACACATCGAAATAGCTGAGCAGCCTTGTCCTGACCTAAACATCCAGAATTAGCACGGGGAGGTGTGCTGGAGGAACACATGTGATCATTCTGCCTTCCTCCCCACCTGCATCCTAGTGCGAGGACCGGTCTGGTTTGATTTGCAGCGATTCTGTGCCGATAGAAGCATCCTTGGCTGGGGGCAGCCACCGCGCAGCATTGCTTTACCCCAGAAACTACATGGGGGTGTTTTAAACATAGATATACAGTTGTGCATACATTTTTGGTTTCATCTCTTCTACACAGAGTTAGACATTTGGGGTCTCGTCTCTTTTGACCCATCTGTAAAATGTACAAGTGGTGCATAAAGACACTATAGATAAAATTGCTTCCACCTAGTGTTGGTCCACTTCAGCTAAACCACCACAACTTTATAGATAAATGTTGTTCCATTATTCAAAATCTCTGGCTTGCTGAACCCATGTAAGCAATGAAACAGTTGATGTGGCTTCTCTTTACTGCTGCATGTTTCCATCAGGTTAGCTCATATGCTTTTATTACCGTGGAGGAAAAAAATAGACCTTTTTAGCTATGAAGGTAAGGTCTGAGACAAGCCTTAAACATTCAGAAGTAATTGAAGTTTGCTATAGGGGCATTACAGATTGCTGCTGGTCTTGGGACTGTCTGTGTGGAAGTTCAGCTTGATAAAATTCACAAAGAACTGGAACTGCTCAAGGACACAATTGAAAAAACATTTTGAGAAGCCAGTTTCCAGCGCAGCCGGTTGCAGGCGCAGAAGCAGGAGCGAGGAATGCAGCCTGGCCTCCCCAGCATTGCCACCGCTTGGGATTTTTATCACACATGTTAGGACATTTTGGATGTTTTCCTTTAAAAACAAGCCTAGCTCGCACAGGCGTGCAAGTAAGAGGGAATAGCAGCTCTTTCTTTAAAAAAAAAAAAGCCTTATAATCTTTATGCTTGATGTTTGATTACCAGAGATTTTTTCCCCCCCTTTTAAAGCAAGTATTAAAGAAATACTCGGTGATTTGTTCAGCTTTGGCGTTGGCAGCATTCCCTCTCCGGAGCTACTTGAGCAGGAAGCTCTGGAGTTTGCACTCACACTCAACCAGTGAGGTGGGAGTGAAGTTATGGAGCTGTCCTCTAAGAACTTTAAAAGCAAACCGGTAGAAGGCAGGACAGGTGAAAACAGGGTTTGGTCAGTCTTTAAATGGCATGTTTCAGCACCAGGACTGTGACCTGTCCCCAGGGAGGAGGAGGCACACATGGCCATGAACCGGAGGATTGCTGGGTGTTTGATTTACATACCCCACCATGAACTTTTTATTTCAGGCCAATGTGTTTGAGGAATAAAACCGCTTTCTAAATAAAACATGCAGTGAAGCTGCTGGTTTATATCCCTTAATTTTAGCAAGCTGGGAAAAGGAAATACCACTGAATTTTCCTCCTTGCTCGTACCCCTTTCATCCTGAGCGTAGCATATTGGGATGATGAGCTGTGGTGCACCCTGCCTGGACTACTGATACGGGCTGAGCCAGGACGGTTGTTCAGGGGTGGTTGTTTTATTCTGGTTGTTCCCTTTTCCATCCAGGCTCCTCTGACTGTAGTGAAACTTGCCCAGACTTGTGCTGCACAGAAGCGGGAGGGAGCTTTGAGGCCAACATAAAGAAGAGAGTCATTTGGGGAGTAACGAACTCTAGGGATGGAGGTTAAACTATAACCCCGTGCCAATACGCTTTTGGTTCCTGAATTCCCGAGGGGGAAGGGAGGAAGTGGGAGCAGGATGGGGAATTCCTGCCGGACGGAGCAGCCCGCCTGCCCAGCTTCGAAATACTGACCTCAGGGAGTGTATTGCAAGCAGAACAAAAGCTGTGCTTGCTCTGGACAGTTGGGACAGCACTGCAAACAGCTGCAAAGGGGAAAGGGATGTGGAGGAGTAAAAACACTGTTTATATACAAAATAGAGAGCATTCTCGATGTGTTCGTTTAAATGGCAGAAGGGCACAGGTGTGAATTCAGGCTGTTGTGTTGCTGCTGTCAGCCTGTGTTTCTTGGGTGTCTGGCTGGAGCAGACGCTTAAAGCCTGGTTTTATTTCTAGGACTCAGGTTCCCTATGACATCTCAGGGCTGTTACTTAACCTCTGTGTTTACATCCTCCTGATACTCCCCTGATTGCTTAACTGCTTGTCAAGAACTCTTGAGAATCTCAAAATAAACTATAGAAGTGCAAAATGGTATTACTTGGCCGTCCTCCTCCCAGTGTTTCTGTATGTTAAACAGAGCTTTGATAGCAGTGTCATAATATAAACATACGTGCTTGAAAAAATGCTGCAGAACCTCTTGTGCAGTCCATGGAGAGCTTACCCTTTTTGGGAAATAATGGACAACCCCAGTCATCATACACTAAAAAGTGTTTCCTTTTTTTCCCTTCTCTTTCCAGACTTCATATTCAGAGCACCCATTAAATTAAGCAAACCAGGGGAACTCCGAGAAGAATATGAAAGCCAGCTAAGGAAGGTACGGTATTCTGTGTAATTGCGGTTTTTCTTCGAGAATAACTTGGATTTCCTGTAGGAATGCCATTCTACCTATAAGGAAACTTGAAGAGCTCTTTATTCCTGCTCTGTAACAAAGGTCATTTATTCCCTTTATGCTATTCAGCCAGTTCAGGAAAATGTTGGCAGTAATCGAGCAAGTAGAAGCCAGATTTTGCTGTCTTAGGCTGCCTTCCAGAACATGGAAATGTACCTTCCTTGGTGGACCTCGAGCAACTGTTCAGTTGTACAGGGTTTATTAGAGCATCAGTATTTGTGGATGTAATTCCATAAAGGCTTTTGCAGCATAAGGCATCTCCTGCAGTAACGTCGTTCTCAGAAACAATCTATTCCAAACTAGAGCTTTCTGTCTATTTTTAGGCAAGAAAAAGAATGTCATTTAAAGACAAAAAACTGAGAAGGGAAGAAAAGCTTTTCAGCTGTTTTGGAGTTAAAGTTTGGGAAAATATTTTTCACATTTAAAATGGGATTTTTTCTTAATCTAAATCATTGAAATGTCTCCAGTGGCTAGTCATTTATGGAAATTGGCTGCTTTTTAAGTGAGAAAAATTGCTGTGAAAGCAATGACTGCTGCAGCCGAGTGGATAATGATTTCCATTGCAACCCCTCTCGTGAGAGTTGCCCATAACTTGCTAAAACATTCGCGCTGCCACTCATAGCTCCTGCGTCTGTCGTCCCTTGCTCTACCTGGACCTGCGCACCGTCCTGCTGAAACATGGACTCTGCCCTGCTGCTGGTGTCTCTGTCAATAGATTTAATCACTGTCCCGGGGCCTTGATCTCTGTGATGGTATTTTGCTTTGAGATGGGTTCAACCTCTTGCTGATTAGTTTACCTGCTGGGGAAAAGGAACAGGGGATTTTTCATCACTGAAGAATTTTCTTTGCATTTTTCACTTGAAGATCTCAACAACTGTAGAAAGGGCTGGGAAGCTGATGTTTAGTTAGAATAACCTTGTCCACTCAGTGATGCTAAGTAGGGAAATACTGCTTAGATGATATTTAAAGTAAATAACTTGTCTGGGAAAAGCATATGTGTGAGGAGACAATGAAAAATGTGGAAGAGTCTTCTTTCTTGCTTCTCTATGCATGGAATTAGCAGTGACACTGATGGGCAGTGTCGCTACAGGTTATTAGGATAACTTTGGCTGACTATGACCTTTCATTAAGTGATCTTAAGGAATGCAAATTCTTCTCTGGTCCAGGTGACACTTGCTAGGTAGGCAAGCAAGCTTTGTGTGTAAAGTGTTGTGACTTGCGGCAATTTGAGTGACAATGAGACACTTTGTTGAGAAACAGTTGTTTAGGCAGCAGCGTAAGACTTAAGTGCACAGAAATCTTATTCATATAAAAATATAGTTTATTAATTAACTTAAACATGCATCACTGTATCTAGCAATTTAATTTTTTTTCACTGTAACCTTCAGGATGAGTATACTCAGGGTATCTTTGGCTTAAAGAAGAAATAAAGCTTTTTATGTAGGTATTAACTGTAAACCTTGCTAGGGTTTTATAAAACTCCCCGTAATAGTGAATGGGAGACTTTCCATGGTGATATTGGAGCTCACTTATCATTGATCCTGCCAGACTTGTTGCTTGATGTCTTCAATCCATCCACAAGGCCAGAATTTCCCGGGTGTCCAGAGGAGCAGGAACCGCCTGAGTTCACTGAGGCAGGATCTTAGCTCTGCAGTTCTTCCAGGTGCCTCCAGACTGATGCATATCTGGATCTTCTGCAAGGATTAAACCATCGTCTCTCCCATGGTCCATAAAACGTTTATAGGAGCATTGCATCTGTGCAGGACAAAATGGGTACTTTGTCACCTCTTGTTAATCCTGATCATTCCATTACCAACTTTAAATATTATTTATAAAGTTCAAGTAAGCACATTTAAAGCATAGTCAGACTGCAGCTGAAGAGGTTTTTGCATCTACTGCTTGACTTCAGCAAAAAGATACCACATGCAGTCCAGTGCCAACACTTCTCACTTCCCCACCAGTCAAAAGGAAATACTTTAACAAGTTTCTGGCATTTTGGGCATGTTTTGGTCTTGTTCCTGTTCAGCCTGCTGCCTTCCCCTTTTTGCTCACTGGCAGATGGAAGATAGGTTTCTTCCCCTGCTGACTTAAACTGACTTTTTATGAACCTTGTCTGAAAGAGCTTTGGGGGTGGGGAGTTCTCTGAATCATCATCTAAGAGGAAAGGGCAATGTAATTTTACTGACAAAAAAGGCAACTGATGATGCACTTGCGCTTTTTCCTTATTCCAGGCAAAATTGTGACTGTTGCCACTTAGTGAGAGTTACTTGGTGTCTCTGAACTTCCGAATTAGGCAGGAGGAGATGAGAACTCAGTTTTGGGAATCGAAGCTTGTGTATAACTGGGCTTCCCTCTGTGCCTTGAGGCAAGAGGTTTCATGTAAGCTTCCCTGCCCATGAAACGAGGATAACCGGTGCTGGCTTTGCTCCTGAGGAAGGGAGAGGAGTGTTCAAAAGCTTTTACATCTCCCAGATGTGAGTTGTTTTATAAATCTTAGCTCTTGACCTGCTTCCCAGCCTTTTGCAGTTGAAAACAAAAGTAGTTACCATAATTATGTACTGAAGAATTTTTATTTGAAGTGGATAATCTTGTAGTGTAATTTTCTCAACTGGCTTTCAGAATGAGATGAAATGTTTGCTCTCTGTGCAGGATGGCGAGATTTTTTTTTCCTCTTTTAGGCAGCGCACTTGGTGCTCTTGTATTTTATATTTTTCCAAAGGAGGATGTTGTTTCTGTGTACTAAAAAATCCTGTTAAACTCTTTCTATCACAAGCAGTCTATTGCTTGTAATCACATGCAATCAGGAGGGAAACTCCTACCTGAGGCATGTGCTGACATGCAGCTTTCCAGCAGCATGGGTAGACAGAGCAGGCTCAGGGAGTGAGCAAGCAAACCTGGACAGTTTATGGAGTGAAGAGAAGATGTCAAACGTGAGTTTACCAGACTTTTGGAAATGAATGTTAGTATCAAGAATGATGTTCCTGAAATGCTCATTTCTTGACTATTTCTTGAGCAAAAAATTAGCGATTGCTTGTACAGCATTTTTTTCCTGCAGTTCCAGTATCCGAAAGGGCTACAGACAGGTTAAAATGCGTTTTCTGATAACTGTACTGCTAATAGCAACTGATGGTCCTGCATCCAGTATTTCAAAGCTGCTACTCAGATAACCTAAGGTACTTTTCCCAGGGTAGATGTTTCACACCGGCTTGTTTCAGTTTCTAGTCTTCATGTCCCGGCACAGCATTGCCACGTTTGTAAGTAAATTCTCTGGGAGATAATTTACATTAGGCTACTTAAAATGATTTTTTTTTTAACCAGTACAAATTTTATCATTACAGTTTGCTTTTGTTTGCAACCTGAATTCAGGATGTAAATTCCTTTTTGTATCCCGTTAATTAGGATTAGGATCCTGTTGTTGCTTTTTTCACTGTCAGCAGAGCTTGTGCTTGCAGCTCCCATTAACTGTGCTGCAGGTTTGCCCAAAATCTTTAAATATTCCTGTATGTTGTTACATATGTGTGTGGCTTTAGATTTGGGAATTGAGTATAATTGTATAAGTTAGACAAAAAAGTGAAGATTTCCATATAGCTTTCTTCCATGTGAAAAATAAGGAAGGGACACAAGTGTTGGGTAGTATTTCAGCTGGCCAAAAAAAGTAATCTTTATGATAAATCTTGGAACTTGTTTTTCAGATACTTAAAAGAGGCTCCTTAAAGTGCAGAAATACTGTTTGTGAAACGTACAGCAGACTATTCATCATGTCTGCATCATGTGGCCATAATCTGTATTAGTCAGACACTGTGTTGTAGTTATTGCTTGAGATTATTAATAGATCAGGAATTTAAAGATACATCTTAAAACAACTCTAAACAAGAAGTCAAACCAGTCTTTGAAAATATTTGCTAAACACTCACAATCAGCCAAACAGTGGGGGGTTTTCCTGGTTTCTACCTTCTCTCCTCCTACCTCTCTCTTCCTCATCTCTGGGTGTTCGGATTCAGTAGGATTCGGGTCCTTCCCAGTCTGAAGATCATGATGTGTTTTTCATGTAATGCATCATGAACACTGTTTTCTTTGTCATCCACATGTCCGTGCTTTTTTTTCCCGTCCTTCGGCAGGGAAGAAAAATACTAAATATTTTGGGAAGAATGAGGAGTTGTTGCAGCTTCACCCTTTATGTGAAGTGCCTTTCACTGCCTTTATGTGCAGTGCTGTAGGATCAGTGCTTGAGCTGCCTGTGGATGCCTTGAGCTTTACTGGAGGGCACCAGGTCCCACAGCGCTGCCCTCCTGGGAGGCGAGGGGGAAATTGCGGCGCTGTGAGAAGATAGGAGGGAACGTAACAGGGCAGCTTCTTAAGCATCTGAGATGCCTACACTCAAATAGGAGGAATAAACAGAGGTATTTGAATTTCTAGTGCTTAGCCATAGCTGTGATTCATCAGCATGATGGAGATCTGTCAGTCAAAGGTCAGGCTTGTTGTCCCAGACGAGGATAGCTTATGCACAGAGGTTGGGTGGAAGAAGGAGGGAGGACCTGGTATATATACATATATATGTAGACTATTCATGGCCTATGTGTAAGCGTGAAGTTGAGGAAGAGGTGAGAGACAAGCTGGGTGAATGGCTGGGTAATGAGTGAGAAAGGAGCTGGGTGACATTAGCCTGGGCAGGGACAATCAGCTGGTGTTACCTGAAGTATGTACTGCAGAGCCTGTTCATCAGGAAAAGGTGGTGGAAAGGAGGAAAAAAGGGGGTTTGTTGGTTTTGAGTAGCAGGTCTGCAGAAAAGAGGTCCTGGCATAAATGGGGAGTTTGCTTCCTTAGGTAAGGGGGAGCAAAATAACGCAGCAGGACAGGCAGCCCATCAGAGTCATCGGTCGTGCTGGGGATGGTCCTTTCGTTCAGGAAGAAAGAAATCTCTGCAGGGAGAGCCTGGCCAGGAGAAGCTTGTCACACTAAAGTTGACCTTGGTTGGTTAAAAGGGATCACTAAGTGGTGGATTGTGCTTTTCGGAGGGAAGGAAAGTGTTTGCACTTCTCTGTGTCCTAGTGTCCTAGATCTGGCATTCACCTGCACTTCTCATCCACATTTGCACTTCAGCTGGTAAACTGAATTCAAGCTTTGGGCCTCCAGTTGGCCATCGGAGGGTTAGGTAATCTCTCTGGATCTTCTCCATCCCAATGCGTCAATGAAACAATAGGATTTCATATAGCGTGTAGGTTTCAACGTGGGAATTGCTGTATCTAACCAATTTTAATTTAGGTGATGCTGTCTATATGTCTGCGAGAGTGTGTGTGCTGTGTCACAGGCCATTTGAAGACTAAAATTGAAATGTCTTAGCTTGCATGAAACTACTGCTTGCACATTTTTATTTGTAGTATGATTATCTACAAGTAGACAAAAGCTTTTGTCTCTCTATTTTAGAAGGTAGTGTGGCAGAGAAGTCTTTGTCAAACCCTGGACCTAACAGTGCCTTTGCTGTTTTGCAAAGATAATATCAACAATATTTGTGTAGAGTGCACAAACTTGAAAGCATTGTAGGAACAAACCAATCTTCACATTATTGCAAGAGGGAGGCAGTGGCTCTACTCTAGAGAACTGAAGACACAGAATTAAATTATGTGGCCAGACTCTTGGAAAATCACTTGTTGGCAACCAGGTGTAAGACTTAAAATATTTTTAAATACGCTGTCTCTTTTGTCATTATTTCCAGCTGAGAGAAGAAAAACTACAAGAAGAAAAAGCTTCCGAGGATCTGATTCACAAGTTCATTCTAGATGACATGGAAGTAGGAAAAAGAAAAATGGAAGAACAGCAGAAAAAAGATGAACCTTTAATGCTTAAAGTGAACCAAGAGTGTGTAAGTAAGCTTGAGCTTCTCTTTCCTATCCTCATCATAGACACTGACTGGTAGGTGAAATGCTGCTAAGACAGTCCTGGAACAAGAACTAGGTTTTTTAAAGCCCCTGACTAGCTGAGTATCTCCTGTTCCTGCCCATTGAAACTGGGAGCTCTCATCCTTTGACATAGGGAGCTTTCCAGGGTTATTTGATTGACTTCTTTATAGACCTTGAAGGCTATGAGCTAAAGATCCATGTTGGTGAGAACTGTCTTTTAAGGTTTGTTATGACTACAGTTGTTCTTCTGGAGGTTTCTGTACCCCCTTTTACCCACTTCACTTGTGACTGAAGGTGCAGCTCTTCCAAACATAGCAGATACATCTGTAGAGGTAACTGCTCTGCTTTGTATATCCTTGGTCTTCAGGCATATATGCATTTCTATGAACATTTCTCCATGAATCTTCTACACTGTAGGCATACGATACTGTAGTCCAACAGATTCTTCATGCTGAGTTTTACCTATTTCTCATTTCAGTTGTGAGACTCCGCAGGAAATGTTTTTAAGATTTAAAGGCTGATAGGCTCATATGTGGGTACTGAATAACGTCTCATAGTACCTTTCTTATAGGATTTTCTCAATGTTTCCTTGATCAATAAATTAACTTTCTTCGATGACAGACAGCTATACATAGGCACTATGTGTTTATTTTTGCATTATTTATGCTTTTGGGGCCAGCCTCTGAGCTGTTACAGCTCCAGTGAAGAGAGCTGAACGAGCACGCATATCTGCTGGCAGTTTGCATTCTCGGTTTGTGTCCTCTAGGTGAAATCAGGGTGGGGGCTTTTGGAATCTTTAATATCTTTGCAAGAAAGAGCTTTATTTTCCAAGTGATTCTTTTTGTCATACGTATCAGCTAACTCTTCCTTGATTGACTTCAGTTTCCTGAGCGTCTCTCAGATTCAGAGAATGAAGAACCATTCCAGGGCAAGCAAACACATCGGTCGGCTTTTGTTTCCAAGACCAGTGCCTACTCCTTTGCTTTCCTTTCAGGGTAAGATGCTGAGACTTGATTCAAACCGATTAATGTCCGTTACAGATGTTCTTTTGACTGTTGTTCTAAACATACCTGAGATGCTTTAAATTCAATTAAAATGGTTGTTCCAATCTAAAATAAGTAGTATTTTTTCTGGAATTTTAGAACAGACTAATTGGTAGAATATAGCATCTGTCTGATTACCTCCTACCTGTTATAAAATCCTAGGAGTTAAGTTAGTGTTGACAGTGAAAGCTTAACAGTGAAAGCTGTTGCATGATGCAGTGGAAGCAGCTGAGTAACTAAGTGTGTTTTCACATGAGAAGCACAGGGGTTTCCACAGCGTTGTCATTAGCTCTGACCTCAATTAGTTATAAGCCGTAGGTGGAGGTGTCAGTGTGTTTAGCGCAGAGCCCTTGAACGCAGACCAGGACTCTGTGGCAGATCCAAGATTCCTGGATCCCTTTACCCCAAGGGCATCTCTTACAGCCGGGCGCTGCCAAGGCTGATGCCTCCCCCACGGGTAACTGCTGCCAGGGCTGTTGGACTGGTTGTTCCTAAGGTCATGAACAATCTCCTGTTTTCACCCGTCTGCTTTTCAGGAACCTAACCGCCAAGGTGGAAAGGAGTCGGAGCTGCAATGACACCATTCAGGAGAGATCAAAGAGCAGGCAGAGATCAGTCCCAGCCAACAAAACAAAGGTACCAGCTCCATCTGGAAGCATAGGATTTCTGTGTGTAAATGTTCTTATCTGTGGTTACACAGCACTGGTAATCTGGAGATAAAAAATACTCTGTTTGTGGTGCTGCTGGTGCTGCGTTATCACCATGGGGCCAATCATTTCCTTGCAGCTCACAATAAAAACCTGCTAGGTTAGAAATTACTAAGCAGAAAAGTAGACAGCTTACAGAGTTGTTTGTTAGCATTGGAGGATAATTGGAAGTTGGAAGGGTACTCATCATGCTTTTGTTTGCTAATTAATTTTCTTTTCAAGGCTGAATCCTCAGCCAATTAAAGAAAGATCTTTTAGAAGTTTAGAAAAAAATCCTCTCTTCCTCCCTCTTTCTCTCCTGTTCTTTCCAAAGCTGTTTAAACAGAGCAAAACTCCTTGCTCTCCTGATGTTAGGATACTTTTTTTTGCACTTTAACACTATGGGAAGAGCTGACCTGCTCTTGCTTCCTGTCGCATCCAGCAGCCCAAATGAATTAACTGTACCTGTTACCCTGTGCAACAGGCCTGACTTTTCATGCACTGCCAGCTTCAAAATGAGTGGTGATCATGAAGCACAGCTGAAAATTTGAGCCGGAGGTTTTTCAGGCTCTTCCAGCAGTAATCGCTGGGTACCTTCCACTCATTGGAGATGACCTTTGCAAACACCTTTCCTTGCACTGTGCCTGGCAGCACCACTGACCCCTCTGTTTGGCCCTGACAGCAGAAGCAAATTTTGCACGCTTGCTCTTGTACTAATCTCTGTAGTACGGAGGTCCTCTGCCTCCTTTCCAATGTGCCTCTCTGGCCCGTGGGGTCCTGGTGGCTGGCAACAGCAGCTTAAGTTATGAAAGGTCTGAGTTCTCAGCCTGGAACAGCTCCAACGCTGCTCTGCCGGGGCCACTTGCTAGGATGTTCCACCTCTTCATGCTGACACCCCTGCTTCTTGGGCTCAGTTTCATCCCAGATGGAGAAGGGGAGGGTTCAATTCCAGAGATCCCATAAGGAACAAAAGCCTCTGCAATCCTTTGGAAGGTCATTTTGGTTGGGGAAATGGTAAAATCCCCACTGGGCACACTAAGTTGACCCCAGTGATCACCTAGCTACACATCTCTGAGGTTATGGGCATGGACCATGGTCAGAGAGTCTGTGTTTAAAAACCTGGTCCAGTTCCCATCTAAGCTGACAGGAGCTGGACTGAGCTCAAAGCAAGGGTGTATAACTGTCCTGCCTCCTCAGGACATTTTTTTTTAAGTAGATGGTTTATGGACCTGGCCAATTAAGACTTGCACTACCAGGGTGTTCCACAAATTTGTTTTGGCCCCAGAATAAGCTAGTAGAATCAACTGTCTTTCAGGCTAAGCAGGGGAAGGTTATCACTGTCTCAAAGTAGCTGCTGGATAAAATAATTTCATCTTGGAGAAGAAAAATACCATTTGCAGTGGTGTATGTGCAGCTTTTATTTCTGATGTTTTTGTGGCTGGATTCTGTTGCGTTCCAAATGTAACAGCATTAGGGGATGGTCTTGGAGACGACAAGAAATGTTGCTCTTAAGCTCTGCTAGAGGCTGTCTCAGGCAGTGTCCAGTGTGGAGGCTGTGGTGTGGTCCGGGACCACTTGTCAAAGTTGCTCCACCAATCTGCCTCAGGCACATACACACCTTTTGTCATGACGTTTTGCAGTGCAGTGTGTTAAACCTGGGCCAAGTATTTATTCTTTCTCTCCTACAGCTTGGTAGGGAGCAAAAAATCCTTTGGAGAGCGTTTCCCTTGAAAAGCGTGGCTTCCTTCAGCCATGGTGGTGCAGTGCTTCTCGGCTTCTCCTTGTCTTACCTTGCTTCAAGCATTTTGCCATCCAAGGGGTTGCCATTTATGGCAAGAACAGCTCTTACACTGAAATAAATTTGAGACCGAGACTGTGCTGGACTCTGGTGTCCTCTGCTTATGTTATATATTGGCCATGAAAGGTGCCATGACCAGCAGAGGCTGTTCCAGAGAGCTCTCCAGCTGGTCTGCTGCAGGAGCTGAGTGTGGTAGCCACATGTTCTCCTGTTCTCCTCCTGCACACTTGTCCGTATTCTTCTCAATGACAATCTTTTCGAGCTGTGGTGCCTTGCCTTGCAGGTGCCACCCGTCACCAGCACGTCAACGCCACTGGTTGGAGTTTTGTCGTCCACCCAGAACAACCGCTGCCTCTCCGCCCCAGACCTGACGGCAGAGAAGCGCCTGGTTCTCAACCCCGTTTCGTCCCTCTCAGCCCTGCACAAGCCGGAGCGATCCATCAGCCCCGAAAGCAATGACAGCATCTCGGAAGAGCTCAACCACTTCAAGCCTATCGTCTGCTCCCCATGCACTCCTCCAAAGAGGCTTCCTGATGGCAGAGTCCTGAGCCCTCTCATTATCAAGTCTACCCCGAGAAACCTGAACCGGAGCTTGCAGAAGCCGACCACCTACGAGGCCAGTCCTAGAATACTGAAAAAATGGGAGCAGATATTTCAGGAGCGCCAGATCAAAAAGACTCTGTCTAAAGCAACCCTTACGTCCTTGGCTTCGGAGCCCGGAGAAGACGTTATAGTTCCTGACATCACCAACTCCAGCACTTGCACTAAAGAGCAGCCACAAATACAGGATGATCACCTTCCACCTGACACAACAGGAGACCCTCGCCCTGAGCTGGATTTCTTTCCTTCCATCAGTGAAACGAAGCTGGGAAGAGGGATTGAGAAGAACAGAGATTCACAGGCCTTAACAACAGATGACAGTGCTGCCGAACCAGATGCGAGATCAAATGTCACCTCCGTAAACACACGAGTGTCCGAAGTCCCTGACCTAAAGGTGAACACGTTCATGGACAAATCCTGTCTTAGTCTTGGCCCAAAAATGCTGAGCAGAAGACTCATGGGTGTCAGTGCATCGCTGCCTGACAACAGTGCACTAGGAGTCCCCATCAAGCCATCGGGAAAAAAGCAGCTGAAATACCTGAACAAAAGCGAATTGATCAGCGTGCAGAACAGCACCTGCAATTCTGTTGAGAACATCATTGGGGAACAGCCCCCGTCGCTGAGACGGGGCCGAAAGAGACGCTGCAAAACAAAGCACTTGGAGCACAATGGCTCCGTCAAAAGACTGAGGCACGTGGCAGGGGAGGTGGGCTTGCCTCCGGAGGATCGCTTGGTACGGGAGATGGAGCAGAAGCTCCAGCAAGAGGAGGAGGACAGGAGGTTGGCCCTGCATCTGCAGCGGATTTTCGACAGCGAAAACAGGACAGTGGATAGGCGGAAAGTCAGAGTCGATCGGTATCTGCTGCGGTCAAAGAGCACTCTGGGTGCTAAGTAGCACTGTTGGACAATGTTGCCTTTCTAGAGGACGATGAGGTTTATCAGATTATCTTATAGGAAAACTATTTTTTGTCATACTTCCACCCACAACAATTGTTTTTTGGTTTTGGTGGTAAGACACATGTAGGTCCAGTTCAGAGAGAAGCCAGAGTCCTTTCAGATTAAAAAAAAAAAAAAAAAGAGAGAGAAAAAAATCCTCCAGCTTTCTGGTCCATTGGTCTGAAAGAAGTGTCCGTCGTCCTTGTGAATACACTGCAATGCCTCTACATGCAGTTGGTGACATTTGGGTTCCCCAGCTAGGAGGGTTGTGTGAGCAGCACATGGGGCATGGGGTAAGGACCTTGGCTGTTCCTTGCCTTGCTGCTTCAGTAAGCCAAGAGAAATCAGAGCTCTGCTCATGGAGAGGAAAGTAGGCTTTTTCTGTCATCTCTGCCTGCCCCATTTTCTTCCTTACGCTGCAGTTGGCTGTGGTGGTCAGACCGTTACCGACGTCAGCGTGTTCGAATGACCTGACTTGAGCGCTGTTGGGGAGGGAGGCTGATCCTTATTTCTGCTAGGAAGTACCAAATAGATCCACCTATAGTACTTATAAATGAATGTATCTCACTGTCTGCACCGGCAGTACAGATCATAGGTTACTTTCTTTAAGTAGAAGGCCAAATGCAGTGAAGAAAGACATAAGCCTTATAGGAATTTGCACATTCATGTTAACGACACAGCAGAGAGCTCAGGTAGAGCAGCTGGGAGCCATGCGCTGGGGGCTGTGACCCAGGGAGCAAATGCAGCTTTTCTCCTGGTCCCTGCCTCTTTGGAGGCAAGAGGGTTTCATGTTCTTCCCACTAACATTGAAATCCAGAAAGGGAAGCCCTGCCCGGGTGATTTCGGGAAGGACATTCTCCCTGCTGACACGTACCCTGCAGGTTCTTGCTCAGTTAAGAGATCTCTCAGCACACCTAAGACCTGTCCTTACATGTCCAAGAGCAGCCCGAGGAGGCATCCCAAGGTATCTGACGCATCACCATCCTCTCCCAGGCACCTGATGGGTTGGCAGTAGAGCTGGGACAGGAGCCCAGCCCTCCCAGCCCGTGGGCACACGGAGGCGGGTGCTCAGGGCGATGCACGCCTGCCCTGCCCCTGCTCCGAGCTAGCCATCTTCAGGTTCAAACCACTAAGAAAGCTCAGGTGAGCGATGCACTAAAAATTTCCACTTAAAGGCATTAAGCAGGGCATGGCAGCCTGGACCAGAGCTAGCTCGGAGCCTGGGCTTGGCGGAGCATGTGTTGTCTGCCCAGATGTGGCCTTCAGTGGCAGCCCACCCTCTGGACTCTTTGTGTTTCTAATGCTCTTCCCCATCATCCATTATCAGCACAACAATTTCGTTGATTATTTCCAGTAACCAGGATCAAAAAACATCAGCTCAGCTTGATACTTGAAAGCTGCCTTGCAGTGTATTCACTGGGGACCCTCGGTGCCTGCAGGAACCTTCGTCCAGGGCGGAGGCTGTGGCGTTAACGATCTTGCTGACCTGTGTGCCAGTTGACGAGCGGTATTTTCAGGACGTAACTGAAGCACAGTGCTGGGGCAAACTTGCCGTGACCCATGGTGTGAAGGGAAGACAACTAATGCATTTAAACAGATTAATCTGATCTAAGAGAACGGTCATTGCCCAATTTCCTCTATCTAAAAAATGGTTTAATTTCTCCCTCCATCTTAAATGGTTAAAAAAAAAATAATGGAAACTGATTTTCTTTTTCTCTCCTGGCATACTTGCATAGCTGCAAGGACCCTGGCGCTTTTTTCCCAATTGAACTGGATTTTTTTTTTTAAAAAAGAAATCTTATATTTTAATGGATAAAATTTATATATTTTAAATACTATATTTCAACAGATTGACACTTTCGTTTTGAGAAATCTTATAGCAATGATTCCGTAATATATATATCTATCTCTGTATCTCCTTAACACACAAACTACTGGATGTTTAAAGTCATACCTAGGGCTGGCTAGACCTGGCCTGCTCTGCCTACCCACTGCGGCTTGTGGGTGATGGCATTCCGTGCCCTCTCACACGCTGCAGCCTCGTTAGGTGCTGACTGAAGCAGGCGCTTTTGACCCAAACCGAATCCTGCTCCTGTATCCGGCTGTGAATTGGAAGGAAATTAAGTAATTAGAGCCTTGACAGACCTAGAAGAGCAGTGCAGAGAGAAGTAGTGGTGGCCTGGATCTGCCCTTTGTAGTGAAATAAGCTCAGGAGGGAAACTCACAGCTTTTACTCAGAATTCATGCCATTTTTTCCCAACATTTTGAGCTAAAGCATGCACTTCTCAAGTGCATCTAGATGTATAATTATTTTTACAGGCCTCCTTCTCCCTGCCCCTTCCCTGCGGTTAATCCCTTGAGCCCAAATCAGAGTTCCCTAAACAGTTTCCATTTTTCTTGCGGCGCTTGTGCGGGTTTCATCCAGGCTTGGGCTGCTGGGCGCTCTCTGAGCAAGCCTACACCACAAAAAACTAGATTAACATGCTGAATGTATCCTGTCTTTCCCCTCTTAAAATAGATTTTGCAGTCCAATGCACGAGGGCAGTGTCTTAAATATCTTCTTTTTAAAAGATTACATAAATATTTAGGTTTTTGTGTGTTAATTTCCTCTTTCTAAATCCGAGCTGGGTGGAAGCGCGGGAGGCAATGCCTGAGCTGGAGCTGTCCCCAGCCAAAAAAGCTTAATGGGACCCCTCACACCCCCGGCTTCCCAAACCTCGCCTTCACTGGGCAGCCGGCTACCCGCAAAACAGAGCGCTGCTCAGCTCCCTAAGCATCACGCACAGTCCGTTGCATCCACATTGAAGGAGACCTTTGGACGTGGTGTTGCAATCACGTCATGGAAGGGTTGCGGTCGCAGCAGCTTTCGGTAAAGCATCAGGGTGGGATCGATCTTTTCTCATAAGGTTGTGCGCCCACAGGTTTTTAGTCCGATGAAGCTGCTGGATGCATTTCTACATTCGCTTCTCCATCTAGTTGCTTAAGGACTGGGGAAAACATGGGCTGTTGTTCAGCCGGCTCGCCTAGATCCTCTCACCTTCTTCCTGAGCTAGCGAGAACACGACTGCCCTCAGCTGAAATCTACCCGAGGCAGTGTCGGGTTCAAGACTTGAGGCGATGTGAAGCTAGGATGAATGTTTTATTAATTTAACACTCTGTAAGTTTGTGTAAGCTTGCACAAAAAAAATAATTGTATATAATTACACTTAAAAGAGCAGGAATTCCCAGCCTCTACCCTTTAAAGATCAGGTGTGACGCTACCTTTGCCACAAGTAATGCCAGCTGAGAAGTAAAATACCTCTTGCTGAATGGTGGATGGAGCACAAGATGTGCAGAGGCCCTAAAATGAAACCAAGTATTTATTTATGCTTACATGAAAGTCATTTCTAATCCTCCTCCTTTCTGCAGCCACCTTCTCTCTGGGATGAAGGCAGTCCTTGCCGGCTGTGGGACAGCATGGGCATGCGAGTATCCTCCCAAAATGTGAAGCTGTCTTCTCTTGCGAGAAAAAAACAGGTCAAGAGATTGCACTGCCGGTAGCACTGGAGGGGCTGGGGTTGGTTTGACGACAGAAGGACCGTGTCTGCCAAAGATGCCACCGACTCCAGAAAGTTGCTTTCTGACCCTCTGGAGCTGTGTGCCTGGGAAAAGCCGTACGGAAAGGTCCGAGTTTGGAGTCAGTGAGATGAGATAAATGAAGGAAAAGTGCCAAAAGAAGGGATCGTGCCAGATGATTGTATAATGTTGTTCTATATTGTCAGTATTTTTCTTCAAATGCTATTGTACATGCAGTGCACAGTAGTGATGAAGTGTAGCTTGAACAAGCGCTTCTTTGTATTTTCTCAGTGAAAGCAAAGGGGGAGGTTGAAGCCTTAAAGACTATCACTGATTTTAAAAACAAGCCTTTACCAGTGTTCTGAGGACAGACCCCAGGGCTCCACCTGGACTCTCCAACAGCCCTGTGCCATCTCCCAGTTGTCCGGCAAAAGGTTGACAAGGAGCTTGTCCCATGCGTGGGGGGAAGCGTTTCATGAAAACCCGTCCCCTCTCGCCCCTTGGGGCACCCAAGATGAAAACTAACGACTGTCGGACGCCACGATCTCGTGTGGCATCGTGATAGAGACCCGTGGGATGTCCCCATGGATGGCAGCTGGGTGGAACTGGGACACGACGCCAGTTTGAACTACAGTGCGGAAGCTGGGATGATCCCGACGTGTCGCACACATCTGACACAACCCTTTCTCTTCCCCAAGTCTGCAAAACACCGCAAAGCATCAGCTCTAGCATTAGCTCTTCACTATGCAAACAGAAAAACCTTCAGCTGGTTACAAAGCGGTTTGTGTATGCCTGGTTTCCTTGGTGTTTACTGTCAAACTGTTTAAAACAAATCTAGATGTTGCTACACTTTTTTTCCAATAATGTTTTAAATCGTTGTGCTTTCGTGTTCTCCTCAGCTCGCCAGCGGAGCACCGGGGTGGTAAAAGACTTACGGTCATTTTGGGTCTCAGCTGAACCAGCGTGGCTTCATCCGAATGTTTTAAAAAGCAATGGAAGTTACTGAAGGACTGTTGACTTGCATGTGTAAAATGTGTGGGTAAAATGACATGCAGGCATCTGTCATGTTGTGGCTTCTGTTATTTGGAACAGAGTAAATCCTGCTTGTGAAAAAATTGTCACAAACCAGAAATATGCCAACTGTGTACAAATAACATGTACATTTTAACAGCAACGAGGACTTTTAACTGCAGGACAAAGGCCGAGGTTAAAACAGAATAAAACCAGGTTCTGACAGTGAACTACCTGTTTCTGCTGAAGTTGCTGCGCTTGGAAACAAGCGGGATCCTACTGCTGCTGATCCCCAACGAGTTACAGTTGCCTTTGGCTGAATGAGGTTGTTGATTAATGTTTTGCAGGGGAAAAAAAAAAAAAAAGGTGAAGGTGAGTATAATGACATATTTTTCATGTAGGTAAGCAGCCAGTGGGAAGTGAGTATCCTCCATCGCTCCCCATCGCTTGTCCCACCCCCCCATTTGCACTGACACAGCTGTTTTTAGGGGTGCCAGACCGGAGGATAGATTTGGGTTTTTAATAACTATTTTGTGCCCAGCTCAGCTCCCTGAGCGCACTCGGGTCCGGCTGGTTGGGCACATACCTGCGGCGGGCTGGGGCTCCGTGCTCAGAGCTATCACAAGCAACGCTGGCAGCACTGCCCCGGCACAAGACGGATTTTCCCCAGCACTTGGCTGCGGGACAGACCGATGGTGGGAGAGGGGGCAAGAGCTGAGAGAACCAGGCAGCTCCTATTAGCTTGCCACTTTGTTAGTGATGGTGGTGTTGCTGCTGGCTTGCAAGCCCTCCTTGTACGGCCTGCCGGTCAGTGCAGGCAGAGTCCCATCGTGAGCTGTGCTCATCACAGGACAGGGCAGTGACAGCACTCTCTGCCCTGTTCATTGCTGGGCAAAACCTCCCTGCAATGCCCAGAGAATGTGGTAGTTTTTCTTACAAGTCAGTTTTTGTGCAGGGATGGGTGAGGACACACCTTGTTTTGCAGGAACTGCAGAGTACAGCAGCGAGCAGACATGGTTTTCATGTGCTGTCATTGCAGCATGGTGGCTGTATTGGTGCTTTCAAGCTGG